AGGCTGCGGTGGCCAGGAGCGGCCACTGCACTCCAGTCTGGGCGACAGAGTGAGACTCCAACTCCAAAAAATATATATATATACAGAAAAAACCCAAGTTCGTATCAGTGTCTCCAACTCCAGTCAATACCACAGGATTCATTCTAGTTTCTCCCTTCTCAAATTTATAATTCCCTTCTTTGACAGTGAAAAAGCTGGTTGCTCATTTTGCATGTAACCAGTCTCCCATCACTGCTGCTACACATATGCCCAACACAAGTCCTCTTTACACTGCCTGGACTCTGTCATCCCTCTCTGGAACACTATCACCCACTACCCTTTCCTCCCCATCCCCCCAATCTCCTTGCTTAAGACACAATCTCCTTGCTCTCTCCACAGTGATCCCCTCCTTAATCCACTCAGCTCCAGCACCCCCTCTGGGCCACCCCAAGGCTCACCTTCCTCACACCTTCAGGCTTCACTATTCCTTACCAGGTTGCACCCGCTATTCCTCTGCCCCTAACCCCTGCCTACCTGCACGCCCTCCTTACTCTGCTTGGGCCCTGACCCTAATGTGCTGAGCCACCACATGCACTGACACCCACCTCAGCTTCATGGGCACCAGCATCCGACATGAGGCTACTATGGCCCCCTTGCTATGTAAACATCTACCTTGTTTGGTGCTACCTGATGAGTTTTGGTTTGAACTGTTCAGGAAGGGAAGGGAAGAAGAAGAAAAGAAACAGGAGGAAATATCGGTCTTAAACTCTCCATGACTAGGAAAAGGGAGTAATTCTCAAGCTGATGGGGTCAGCATAATCTTAACATTAAATTCTGACAAGGAGCCAGGCTCGGTGGCTCAGCCTGTAATCCTGCGCCTTTGGGAGGCTGAGGTTAGTGGATTGCCTGAGCCCGTGGGTTCGAGACCCGCCTGGGCAGAGAGACCTCATCTCCACAATAAATCAAAAAATCAGCCGGGCGTGGTAGCACATGCCTGTAATTCCGGCTACTCGGAAGGCTGAGGCGGAAGGATCGCGGGAGCCCAGCAGGCGAGGCTGCGGTGGCCGGGAGCGGCCACTGCACTCTAGTCTGGGCGACAGAGTGAGATTCCAACTCAAAAAAAAAATTCTGACAAGGAAATTTCTGACAAGGAAAAGAAATTCTGACAAGGAAAAGAAAACTACTGGCCAATTTTACAGATGAACAAAGATGCAAAAATTCTAAAGAAAATATGAGCCTTTGGGAGGCTGAGGTGAGTGGATTGCCTGAGCCCGCGGGTTCGAGACCCGCCTGGGCAACTTGGCGAGACCTCATCTCTAAAATAAATCAAAAAATTAGCCGGGTGTGGTAGCACGCGCCTGTAGTTCCAGCTACTTGGAAGGCTGAGGCGGAAGGATCGCCAGAGCCCAGCAGGTCGAGGCTGTGGTGGCCAGGAGCAGCCACGGCACTCCAGTCTGGGCGACAGAGTGAGACTCCAACTCAAAAAAAAAAACCAAAACAGTGGAAGGATCGCCGGAGCCCAGTAGGCGAGGCTGCGGTGGCCGGAAGCAGCCACTGCACTCCAATCTGGGCAACCGAGTGAGACTCCAACTCAAAAAACAAAACAAAACAAAACAAAACAAAAAAGAAAACACGTTCCTCAAAAAATTAACAACAGAATTACCATTTGAAGCTGGGTTGGGGCTTATGCCCATAATCCTAGCACTTTGGGAGGCCAATGCAGGAGGATTGCTTCTTGAGACCAGGATTTCAAGACCAGCCTGGGCAACATAGTGATACCTCCTCTCTATAGAAAATAAAAAAATCAGTGGTGGCGTGGGTCTGTAGTCCCAGTTACCCAGGCAGCTGAGAAGGGAAGACTGCTTGAGTCCAGAGAGTCTGAGGAGCTGCAGGCAGCCATGATTGTACCACTGCACTCCAGTCTGGACAATGAAGTGAGACACCAAACTCAAAAAAAGGGGAAGAAGGTGAAGAAGAACTACAGTTTCATATATCAGTCCCACTTCTGGGTACATATTCCAAAGAATTGAAATCAGGGTCTCAAAGAACTATTTGCACATCCATATTCATTACAGCATTATTCACAAGAGCCAAAAGTTAAAAAAAAGCAACCCTTGGCTGGGTGCGGTGGCTCATGCCTATAATCCCAGCACTTTGGGAGGTCGAGGTGAGAGGACTGCCTGAGCCCGCAGGTTCAAGACCAGCCTGGGCAACTTGGCGAGACCTCATCTCTTAAAAAAAAAAGTAACTCAAGTGCCCATTGACAAATAAATGGATAAACAAAAAAACAAAATGTGGTACATACACACAATAGAGCACTAGTCAACCTTAAAAAAGAAGGAAATTCTGTCACATGCTACAACATGGATAAACTTTAGAACACTATGTTAAGTGAAATAAACCAATCACAAAAAAATACTGCATGATTCCACTTATACGTGATATCTAAAGTAGTCAAACTCACAGAAACAGAAAGTAGAATGTGGCTGCCAGGGGCTGGACAGGAGAAATGGAGAGTTGTTCAATAGTACAGTTTCGGTTTTACCAGACAAAAAAGTTCTAGAGATCTGTTGCACGACAACGTGAATATAGTTACCATTACCAAGGCCGGATGTAGTGGCTCATGCTTGTAATCCTAGCATTTTAGGAGGCCAACGCAGGAGGATTGTGTGAGCCCGGGAATTCAAGACCAGCCTAAGCAAAAAATAATAAGACCTTGTCTCTACAAAAAAAAAAAATCAAAATTTTATCAGGGCATGGTGGCACACACCTATAGTTCCAACTACTTGGGAGGCTGAGGCAGAAGGATTACCTGAGCCTGGGATGTTGAAGCTTCAGTGAGCTGTGATTATGCCACTGCACTCTAGCCTGGGCGACAGAGTGAGGCCCTGACTCAAAAAACAAAGAAACAAACAAAAAAATCACTAAACTGTATACTTAAAAATGGTTAAGATGGTAAGTTTCATGCTATATATTTTCTACCACAACTTTTTTAAAAAAC